GACCCCTCACCATTTCGTTGCCCTCCTTTGAACACGTTCCAGGCCCTACAATATCTTTCTTGCAAGTGAGGGCCCAAAACTGGACACAGTAATCGTTCTTCTCTCCCATCTCCTTAGCCAGGGAAAATGAAGGAAAACGAAGTCAGATCCCAGTTTGGCCATCCCAGGGGACGCCACGTGGGAACAGCCCAAGCTGAGGGAAGAGGAAACTCGAGCCGTGTGTCCGATTGCTTCCTGGCCCTTCTGTCCATCACGACAGCACACGTCAGCACAAACCTGTGGGTCTGTAATTGCAATGGCTGACTGATCCGGGCTGCGCTCAATACCGCGTGCTCAGCTTGATACCAAGGCCCTGCAAGGAAGCTGTGAGCAAAGCACTTCTGATCTTGGACCAAAGATGCTAACAGCCCTCCCCCCCCTTCGTTCAACGAACTTAGTGGAATTTCACAGCAGTTCTCCACTCATGGATCAGGATTACATAAATCACTGCTTAACTGTAACGGCTGAAATTCTCCACTCAGATGAAAAGCGCGATGATGATTCTGAAATCATCTCTTTCTCCATTAATTAATCGTCACTTTCCTCTTTTATGGCCGTGCAGCTGCTCTTCTCAGCTCGGTCTCCAATGCAATACTTCCATTGCACACAAGAAAACAAACCAATAATAACACTTAACCAACAGGCTGATAAAGCAGTAAGCAGGAAAACTGGGCAGACCGGACCACAGTCACACCTAAGGGAAAAAAAATTACTCGTGTATTTTTCTCTATCATTCTTCAAGAAGGGAGCTCCCAAATCAGCTCGGCCATCAATGCAAAGCAACAAAACCTGCACCTGAGAAACCACACATGTGCTTTGCTTTCATTGACTCAACTCAAGCATTGGTTTTTTGTTTGGTTGGTTTCTGTTGTTTTGCTTTTTCTCTTACTGAAAGCGGAATTATTTCTCCTGACCACTGGCCGTTAGATAAAGAGACATCATTATTGTAAGCGCCTTGGCAATTTAATCATTTTATTTTAAATATACTGTAACAAGGTTCCCTGTTACCACGCGACTCTACGGGGCCATCTGTGCCATAGGAGTGATGCTGAACACATCCCGCTTGCCAACCTCAAAGAGCTTCGCAGCCGTCATAAACGTGTTTCTCCCTCGTCGGCTTTGCCACTCAGTGACGATACGGAATTCAACAGCGCTCCTATGATCATTTTTTGGTCTTGAAGGTGCCCAGGATTTTGGGCATGAACTTCCCCATCTTCTTGTCCTTGGCGTCCGCGTCGTACTCCTCCTCGCTCTGACTCGTATGCTCATCCTTTTTGCAGAAGACCTCAAACCTGCTGTACACCCTCTTTTCCTTCCGCATGTTCTCCATTTTCTTCAGCAGCGTGTCTCTGTCCTCCGACGGCTGCCGCTGAACGTTTCGCTTCTGGCTCCCAAAGCTCTCCGACCTGTGGATGTTGCAGCTTTTCTCCTTCTCGGCTTTCCTTTCCAAGCTCATGGTTGACTTAGAAAGGTCGGGATTGCTGGTGGATGGCAGCTGCTTGGCCAGTTCAGCTCTGTTCTTCTGGCTGTTAGCAGAGATCTGTTCCAAAATCACCTTGGTGTCATCACGGAGGTTGCTGCTGTACAGAATGTTGGCTGTGGATGAAGGAAATCTGCCCTGCGTCGGTTGGCTGCTTTTGGGAGGAAGCGGCGTTGCAAATTTATGGGTTTTTTCTTCCTCCGCCACCATCTCCTGACAGTCGCCTATGGAAGATCTTTTGAGACCCACGGGCTGTTTGTCAGACCTTCCGACCTCGCAACCGGGTTCCTCCTCCGGTTTCTTTTCACCTTTCGGGTTCAGAAACTGCTTCAACCGCAGGGATCCTTTCCTTAAAAACTCCATTGTGTTTTGTTCCAGCTTTGAACACTCCTCCTCGGATTTATTGAGGGAGCTGTCGGATCCTGGACCTTTAGGCAGGTTTTCGATGGCCGATGTGGTGCCCGTCCTCCCCTGTGGTTTCTTCAGTTCTGCACCGACCAATTTTCCAGCCTCTTCCTTGAACGCCACTCGTTCCTTCTTTTCTGGAAGAGCCAATTTCTGAGTATCTCCTACAAATATAAGGCTCTCCTTTTCTGGAAGAGCGGGTTTATTCTCTATAGGGTAAAACCGAGATGACAGTTTGTCCACTTTAGCGCCCAGGTGTGCTAAGGGATCCTTACTCAAAGCATCAATGAGCTGGGGGGCCGACGAAGCCGTTCCAAACGCTCTGTCAGTCTCTCCGTGCATCTTGTAAGTACTGCAGGAGTCTTTGGACTCCAATACTCTACTCTCCAGAATCTTGTATTGCACGGATTTGGTACATTTCTTCTCCGTGTTCTGTGATTCCTCCTGGAGAAAACTAGAAACGGCTTTGGTGTGAGTGACTGTAGCTCGCTCGGCGTCTTTGCCCACAGCTTTGTACTTCTCTAGAAGCTCCGCCACTTTGGACGAGGCGGCCGTCTTTATGGTTTCATTGTCCTTTGTCAGTTCATTGGACACTTGTTCCTTGTGGATCATCTGGACCTTCTCTACCGTTGCGTTAGGCTGATCTAACTTGGCAGCGTTGAAAATCAGAGAGGACCTGAGTCTGGAGCTCCTCTGGATCAAGGGATTTATTCTGGACCTAAAGGCGTCTTGTTTCATCAGAGGTGTTTCTTCGCCTCCTCTTTCAGGATCCGCAAATTCTTTGGCGTTTTCAACCCCCAGTGACTTGCTATTAAAAGACACGGGGGATTTGAATGCTGGCATGAGGTCAGTGGGGTGCTTTGCGAGGGGATCCCCAAGAACATCATTATAGGCTTCCGATTCCATGGGCATCGGGAGACCTTCTTCCGGTTCCGACTGGTACGCGCTGAGGTACGAAGAAATCCTCCAGTTGCGTAAACCTGTTCTATTTTCCTGAGTGTTCTTGTCCTGATCTTGGTCCTCGTCTTTGTCTTGTAAGAACAGGCGCTGTTCCAGGCTTTGCTTCTGCGTAGGAGAAGTCTGGCAAATAAACTTCTGTCCTATATTCTGCCGTCTCAGCATCATTCCCATCGGGCCGTTGCCTGCAGGGTTCAGCTGATCAGAGCCATGTCTCACTTCCCGGGAAGAATTCGAAGGCACGTAATCCAGCCTTAAGGGGAAACCCTCCTGTGGGAAACCGGGTTCGAGTTCGGGGTATCTGGGTCCCTCTCCATAGGGAAGAGGCCCTCCCTCTTCCAACTCATTGAATCCCGGCCTCCCACCTCGTATTCTGTCAAAGAACCCCTGGGGTCTGCCAGAAAGGTGGGGGTGTTCAAACTGGTACTGGTAGAACTGATCCTTCTGAAAATGGCTGGACTGGATTTTAAATTCGTCCATGTTGTTCACGAACATCTGCCTGGCGTATTGCTTAGAAGAAGCAAAGTTCTCAAACGTTCCTTCTGCAAAACTGTGTCTCTTAAAAGCATCCAACTCCAGCTGCTTGGAACGGAGAAAACCCCTGACGGGATCCATCTGAGCATTCTCCATCTCCACCTTTTTGTACATTCGCATGGCTGACCCCTCCACGGTATGGCGCAACAAATCATCGCGCCGGAAGTTGGACAGGAAGTACCGGTCTGGATCAACTCTGTCCATGAAGGAGGGAAAAAGGTTGTCGTCCCTCTGGAACATGAGGGGTGATTTCTTAGGAAAGAACGGCACGTTATTGCCGAAGGGAGTCATGGCAAACGGGTTCTCTGCCTTTGCCAAGACGTTGGCTGGAGGAACGAGAGGTTCTGACTGTGCAAACAGAATTCGGAACTCTTCGTCGAAGCTGGCCACCAGCTCGCCCTGGAAGATGTGTGCAATGCTCCTGTGAATCTTCTCAAAAGACCACATGAAACTACAAAGAGAAGCAAAGATAGCGTCAGCATCAAGAAACTCGGCTGCACTATACTCAGTGTTCCACCATTTGCTCGTCTGAAGAAATTCATCCTGACTTTCAGCACTGGCTGAAAGGTTGCCCAAGGAGGCTGTGGATGCCCCATCCCTGCAGGCATTGGAGGCCAGGCTGGATGTGGCTCTGGGCAGCCTGGGCTGCTGGTTGGCGACCTGCACACAGCAGGGG